ACCAGCACAAAAAAAGCAGACTGCTCGGTTGTTAGATTATCAAGCAAGCTGTTTGCTTTGGAGGCATCAAGAAAAGTCAGCCCTTCAGGGAAAACCCCCATTTAGACTGAAATTCAAAGGGAACCTGGGAGCAGTTTAGTATACTCACTGATGACTACCTGGGTCTACTTGTGAGTGGAAGTGGGGGAAAGGCAGCAATGAAGACATGGGCTGAGTTTGGCCATGTCCCATTAACATCCGTTGACCTTGAGATGAGAGAGAGAAGAGAAAGGCCTGGCTGGTCTGAAGTTTACAGATATGTGTGAACTTCCAAACCCGTGCACACTGACCTTGTCACTTGTAGTTAAAGCCGAGAGTGAAGCGGCCAGCTAGTCTGAAGTGCATGAACTCCCAAACTTGCAACTAGTACCCATTTGCCTTAGCTTGGATGGCTAGTTGATAAGATACTGTGAGCAAATGTAAATTGTTATAATTTGATGAAATGGACCTCTGCTTATGGGCACAGTTGCTCAATATTCCGACCGGAATAGAAGGATTCTTCATATCAAGGAACAAGCTTGTTTCCTCAGTGCACTGGGTTGATGTTGCTGTTGTTATGTGCCGTGGAGTCAGTTCCAACTCATAGCAACCCTGTACAGGGTTTCCGAGGCTGTAAATCTTTATAAGAGTAGAGAACCTCATCTTTCTCCCACCAAACAGCTGGTAGTTTCTAACTTCCGAATGCAAGATTAGTAGCCCGATTTGTAGCCACTTTGGATAGGTAATCTAGACATTGGCTATCAAAAATAAGGGCTTATAAAGCCATTAAGTGGCTGGCTTACAGGCTTTCATGAGTGTGCTTAGTTTCAGAACAAGGTGGGTAAGGTAGAATCCCCATTGAATAATTTTCCTTTTCTCCAGATGGATCTGGTGAAAGAGGATGAGGGATGATGCTGATAGGATTTTATGATTCAGTTGTAATTATTAGTAGGATTAATTGTGATCGTCACAACTGTAATTGTAGAAAATGTATAACTAAAGGGGGGGTGTAGTGTGTAGTTAATCTTTCATTTCAGGAACAGAGGATCCCATGACCAGCAAGACGGAAGAGCATGAGCAGAGCGTGAGATTCTACCCAGAAAAGTGACGACAGCAGATAGTGGAGAGTCGAAGACATAGGAGAGAGGGAGCAGCTGTGGGTTCTAAGCCCATGGACTTATGAATAAGGCTGTGTGCCTATGTGCAGGAGTATAGCTTTCAGAATATGCTGTTAAGGCATTTAAATGAATATACATTTTTTGTTTTGTATGTGTACATCATATATATATTTTTAAATGTTTTATTATGTATTGTGTGGTAGTCTACAAGGGGGAACATTAGTTTTACATTCATTCCATCATACATCATCTCATTGCCATAGTTACCATCCCGTCAATGCATCATCACTCAACCAAAGGGTTCACGCTGCAATCCTGCCCACCCTCCCCTCAGGGTCTTCAGCACACAGCCCCTCTCCCTCTCCGGATCCCTAGTCCCCAGCCACTCCATCTCTTCACGGCATCCTCTCTCTTCACATCATCCTGTCTCAGTCTCAGTCCTCACTGCTCCTCTGGGTGGGGTCCTGCTCCCCGCTCTTCTCCATTGATGGTCCCAGGACCCTCCGCTCCTAGACTGGAAGGTTAATCACTCCCCTCCTTGCTATAATATGTCCACCTTTACATTTCCAGTCCTCACAATCAGTCCTGGTAACAATTATTCACCTTTGATTCCCAAGGGACCCATCTGCATTTCTTTTCATCTGCCCTTCCTAGACACATCGGATACTACTCACTAGACACGCTACCATCCTCCCCGCCCTGTGGATCTACGTTCCCTCTTGAAAGCTTGTAAGCCAGTCACTTCTTGCCTTTGTATCCCTTCTCCCTTTTGGTTAGTCAATGTTCAAGATGGCCATCCCTATCTACTCTTTGTGTGGAGGGGTGGGAATAGTCCTTGGAGGAGGGATTTATTTCTTCTTTTGGACTGCTGCATATATAGGTGGATGTCCAGTTTATCAAATTGTATCAGATGACGCTTTTTTTTCCTCTTCTGTCTTCTTCGGGTTGAGCTCTGTTAGTCCCATCATTGGAGCCATGGCAAGTGGGTATCATCTGCAGGTGTGGGTGTTCCTGCATCTGTCCACCCTCTTCTTTATCAGTTGGTCACTTTGGTCTCCACTCTAGTCCTCTGTGGACGTGTCACTGACTCTGAGCCCATGAGTCCCCAGGTCTTGCCTCACTGCTGGCCGACCAGGTCTCCACCCAGACTTACCATAGTCTGCTGAACGATGCAGAGCTTAGCTCGCTGCTTCTTTGATGTTCTTCGGTTACTTCTCTTTATGGTTGACGTGTGTGGTTGCCAATCAGAACGCATTTTCCCCTTGCATCTTAGTCTTGGGTGAGGATTTGCACTGAGAGGACCCAACCACTTGCCTTGGTGTCTCCTGGACAGACAGTTTGTTTGTTCTTGTGGTTACAGTTGGACTGCTCTTGTTGTTTTGACATCATATATTTTTGCTTTGTTCATTTATGAAATAAAAAATGTAAAAGGGAAATTACAGGGAGGAAGTAGGAAAACTGCTGTTATAGGAATGGGATTGATTGTAAGCAATGAGATGAAGCAGAGCATATAATCTGTTGAATGTAAAAAACAACAATAACAAAATAAAAGTACCATGGACTGCCAGAAGAACAAACAAATCTGTGCTGAAAGACGTATAGCCAGAGTATGCCTTAGAAGCCAGGATGGCCACACTTTGTCTCTCATACTTCAGAAATATTATCACAAGGGACCAATCCCTGGAGAAGGACATCATGCTTGGTAAAGGGAAAAAGTAAGACTTCCAAAGAGATGGATTGACAGTGGCAGCAGTTATGGGCTTAAGCATAGCAATGATTGTGAGGTTGGCACAGGACTGGACAGTGTTTCATTCTATTGTGCATAAGGTCACTATGAGTCGGTACCAACTAAATGGCATCTAACAACAACGAGTTGGAACCAACTTGAAGGCAATTAACAGCAATAATAACATGAGAAGTCACCTCTTGAATCCACCATGAAGTGTCTGATTTCCAAATACAACTTCCACCTTGCTCACATTGCCACCTTTCATGGTTTCCCAGGTCTGTCTTCTACACAATGCATATTAGAACATTCACCACCATTCATTTGGTTCCTCCTGTCTCTGGACAATTTTGCAACTTGGGAACATAATCCTCCTATCAATATGAAACTGAAAATTGCTACCTTGAGAATTAGGCCATTCACAGCACACTGTGTATATCTTTGATACAGTAAACACACTGCTTGGAATTCTTCTTTCAGGATTAGCACACCAGAGAGTAAAGATATAAGAGTAGTGATTGAGCGTTGTTTAATAACAGTAATAAATTGGTTTGTGCTTTATTTACATTGGAATACAACATGTCTGATAAGATTCATGTTGTATAGAAGTATTTACTGGCATAGGGATATGTTTCAGATATACTGTGAAATGAAAATAAATCAGCTACAAACTGAAATCCCACTCTGGGAACATGGAGAAATCACTTCCCTTCTCTGAGTCTCAGACTGTCAAATAGAGATAATAGTCTACAATCACTTCAGAAGGAGAGTGCCAGACCTTTTTTTCATGATACTGCTGGATAGGTTGGAATTACTAAATACAAACCATCTTGCACCACCCAGGGAATTTGCTAATGTTGTTCATGTTAGTTACAGTTGAGTTGATTCTGACTCAAGAGTGAAATCTATGTGTGTCATAGTAGATCTGTGATTCAATTCCCAAGGAGGGTTTTTGAGGCTGTGATCTTTTCAAAGCGGATAGCCAGACACCTCTAGGTGGGTCTGAACTGCCCACCTTTCAGTTAGTCATAGAGCACTTAACCATTTGCAACACTCTGGAATTCTGGGGTTAACGTTTGTTGTTAAGTGCTGTGGAATAAGACATATGACAAGCACTCACTAAATGGCAAATATTATTTTAGCGAAGAGTCTGAATATCAAAACATTAAGTCTTCAGCATAAAAATTAAGGGTCATTTTTATTTTCTTTTCTGTATTAAAATAAATTTCCCTCAGGTCGTGTTTTTGAAGTCTGCTTCGCTTTAACTCACAGGAGCTAAACTGCAGAGTTGGGAGGACACCCTTACCTGGCTCCAGATGATTGGCTCCTTGCTGGCCCCGCCCCTGTGGCCTCGCCCCCTGTCACCTGGTCGTGGTTAGCAGGCTGATGTTTTATTTTCGTATTGGTAGCACACACACACACACACACACACTTTATTCTCGTTTTTTGGTCTTTCTCTCTCGCATACACACCATTCCACCCAGACTCCTGTGTCCTGGAAGCCTACCACTGTGTGTGCAAAAGTTAAGGGTATCCAATCTGTCTGGGCGGGGCTGAAGAAAAGAGATAGGGATAGGTCTCTTGTCCTACAATAGTGAATAATTGCCATCAGGACTGACTGTGAGGGTTGGAAATGCAAAGGTAGATGTTTTGTAGCAAAAGGAGGGGAGTGATTGACTTTGCAGTCCAGGAGCAGAGGTCCCTGGGATCAAGGGAGAAGAGGGGAGTGTGAGACTCCACCCAGTGAAACAGTGACTCCAAAGATGGGAGGCAGAGACATTGAAGAGATGGAGTGGCTGGGGACTCTAGACCCAGAGAGGGAGGGGGAGGGCAGGCTTTCAGGGTATATATACCCTTTGGTTGTTTGATGATGCATGGAGGGGATTGTAACCATGGCATTGAAACGATATACCATAGGATGAATGTAAAGCTAATGTTCTCCCATGTAAACTATCATATAATCCACAACAAAACATTAAAAAGAAGAAAAAAAAAAGTTAAGTGTTGGGGATGCCTTTAGACCTCATTTTCTCTGCCTTAAAATGATCAGAGGTGGGACTGAGTTCCTGAGGATGACGGGTGGTCCTGGTCCCCACCCTTACCTGACCCTCCCGGTCCCCCACCTTGTAGACCCCTACCTTCTGGAGCTGTGAAGGACTCAGGCAGGCCATGGGGACTGAAGCAGGGCGAATGTCTCTTGGTGTTGTGTGCCCAGGCACTGGAAAGGAGAAAGTTCAGGAGGGGTGGCTGGCTGGAGCCTGTAAGGCCCACAGGAATTAACCCTTCCTTACCCAGAGAACACCTAATTCCACCACCCATGTCTCCTAAAACACACAGAGAATGCACTGGGACCTCTCTAGGCTGAGCCCCAGCACTCCAGCTCCCTCTCACTTCTGCTTTGAATGAGGCCAATGATGCTTGCCAACACTCCAGTTCTATACCCTGGGCCCTTCCCCCACAGCTAATCTGATCTCCTTCATTGGTTTTCAATTTCTCCCAGTTTCTTTCCAAAAACCACTCTGGTTGCTTACCAGGTGCCTAGAAATTGCATTTTGAGAGTATTGGGGCAATGAAGATGGGCTGGCAGGACACTTGAGTCCCAATCCCAGAGCCACCACTGCCTATGACCTCTGATAAGCCTTTCTGCAAGGGAAGATGATGAATTGGATCAACAGTATTGATGCCTAGGTGGGGACTCAGGATGGATCTAAGGAGATCAGTCCCTGAATTGCTTTGCCAAATTCCAAAGGCGAAGAGGTCTTCTTGATTATCGGAACCACTCCCAGCTCCTGAACATTTCTTATCCTGAACAGTTCAGTTGTGGGAGGATTAGAGAAGGGAATTAGCAGATCAGTCTGCAGCTCAGAGGAAGAGTTTCTCATTTAGCCAAAGGAAGAGGCTGCAGAGTGGGGGCCTGGGTCTTCAGAATGAGGGAGAAGCCTGTGACTATGGCTCCCTACCCCCAAGCCCAGGATATTTGGTGTCTCCAGTGGGCTGGTACAGGCGAGCCTGGAGATCAAGCATGCCCAGCCTACCCCAGCCAGTCCTGCTGGGCAGCTGACAGGGTCATTTTCTGGTTGCTGCAGTTTCCGAAAACCCGACCATTGGCCTTCCCTGAAATGACAGCTTTCTGAATGGTGAAGGGACAGAGTGTCTCCAGAGTGACTTGGCCCCAAATCAAGTTGTGTTTTCTGGGCCACAGCTCTAAGAGTTACTGCTTTAGCCAATCCAGGCCATCCAGGCTTTCTGAGGGCCAGGGAAGGATGCCCTCCCCCACTCTTTGCTGCTCCTGCAGCTAAGGGAGTTCAGCCAGGCTAGGCTAGGTGAGAGAAATCAGAGATGGGGTTCACTAAAGGCAGAGCACATTCCTGACTGTCACAGTCCCTTTTGATGCCATCCAACAAACAGAGAGAGAGAGAGAGAGATGTGTCCCATGCCTGGCAACAGCAAGGGTCCCCTCAGGTGGGGCCAGCCAGGAATAGAAAGAAGCTCCCCTTGAAACACCCTTCCCTACATGGAGAAAGGCTTTAAAGTAGAGGGTTGTTGCTGTTAAGAGCTGTCATTTCTTACTTACCGTGACCGTGTAGGGTTTCGTAGAATTGGCTGGTGAGTTTGAACCACCGACCTTGAGGTTCAAAACAACCCTGGGGTCCAGTGCTTATCCTACAGCACCACACCAGGACTCCAGGCATTATAGGCAGTCCCTGGATTACAAAGGAGCCCAGTGGTGTGTAGGATAAGCACTGAACTGCAAACCACAAGGTCAGTAGTTTACACCTACCAGCTGCTCTGCAGGAGTATAGGGTCAGTAGGAGTCAGAATTGACTCGATGGCAGTTGGCTTTGAGTTACAAACGAGATCTGTTCCTAAGTGTGTCTTCAAATTGAATTTGTATGTAAGTTGGGTTGGAAGTGCATATGGTTTTTAGTTAGCCTGACTTTGGTGCAAGAAAAGCCTCAAAGCTTTTTCAATGATTTAAGAGTTGCACATGTACCTGTGCTAGTTTGTTGGTTCAAGCTTTCAAAGTAAGGTAAAGTGACATTAACATTAAAGAGCAAGTAGGAATTGTCCATAGGTGAAAAACTGGTAATCTGGAGCCTTACTGTACTGTGAAACCTTGCACATGCCTGGCCCTTACTTTTTCCATCTGTAATTTGCGATAACCTACTATGAGGAGTCCTGGTGTGGTGCTGTGGGTTAATGTGCTGGACTGCAAAGTTGGTTTGCACCACAAGATCAGCGGTTCAAGCTCACCAGCTGCTCCTCAGAAACTCTATACAGGGTACCTATGGATCGGAAATGACTAGATGGCACTTAGCAACCAGAACTACGAGGGTTGAAAATAACAAATTCTCTACTGAAGACAAAGAGCCTGGCACAGTGCCTACTAACATTAGTTATTCACCAAATGTTAACAGCAGTTCTTTAGGGTGGTGCAAAGTGAGCCTCCCCAAGTTTTCCAAATTGCTGTTGTAATCAGAAAAAGGGCTACCACTGTTTTAAACAGAGGGGAGTACCTTCAGCTAAAGGAAGGAAGAACGGGAGGTATGTCTCTGCTTTCCACTATTTGTTCATTTTGCCCAGACTTTGGGAAGTAGGTGGGCGGTGATTTCCACATTGTTGTTTTTTCCAAAAGCTAATCAGTTCCAGATCCAACCTTGTGCTCTGGGCACTGGGTGGCTCTAAGTCTGAAGTCAGGGTGGAGTGAGGTGGTGGGGATTGGTGGGAGGCTAAGAGACTACATAGGCGAGGAAGACCTCCACTAAGGAGACACAAAACAGTTTCAGAGTGGGCTGTAGCTCAGCTGCTCAATTTTCCTATTAGAAAGCCAGGGTCAGAAAAAGGAAGGATCTCAGCTCAGTCCTAAGACCACTTGGATCAGAGTCGCTGTGGAGAGACGAAGGAGATGAGATTCTGGTCTGTTCTGGAAGTGCTTATGCAGTAACTGAGGTCTTATCAGTAAGAATAATGTCTAGATCAGACACAATGGCCTTTCTTACTCATCCCAAACTCCTGGCCCAGAGCTCCCGAGTCTATAGCGTAAGTCTCCGCAGTACAGATGGAACATACAAGAGCATTTATTGGGTACTAGGAGCTAGGCCATCAGCTAAAAACTCTACCAATCTACATAATTGGCTCCACCGTTATCATGAACAAATGAGAAAAAAGAGACCTCATTATCAAATAAGTAATAGAGCTGGGATCTGACAGTAGCTCTATCCATCTCCCTGAGTTTCTATTCTAGCCACCAGTACCTTCAACAGGCCTCCAAAGGGGTTGAGAGCCCTGTCATATCTTCCAATGGGGACTCTAGGCCCCACCTCCAGTGTTGGAATTGCAAAGGACCTCTAGTAGAATGGCTATTGAATGGATGGGGGTACTGAGGATACAGGATGGAAGGAATCTGCCCAGCTTCTTAAAGGTGAAGACTGAGCTGAGAGGGACCCAGAACAACCAGATCCCATTTCAGTGTTCTTTGTCCCCACCCATCAAAGCTCCTCAGAGTCCTGGTGTGGCACTGTGGGTTAATGGGCTGGATTGCAAAATTAGTTTGAACTGCAAGGTTGGTGGTTCAAGCTCACCAGCCACTCCAAGGCACCTAACAATAACAACAATCAAAGCTTCTCAGAGCACAAACCACAGGCAACTGGAAAGACTGACAACATGCTGGATGTGGGAACTCCAGTCAAGGCCCTGTAGCCCGCACACAACAGATGCCATGTCCAGTTGACATCTAGCTGTAAACCTCCAGTACCTTCCTGCAAGGAGCTTACAGTTTAGCGGGACAGAGATGAGCAAAGTTAACGATCCGGCACGTGTCCCATAAATGGTCACTCGACAAGGCCCAGCAGGCCTGAGGTGAGGCAAGGCCCCCTCCCGCTCTGCCCCATGACATGAGACTTTCAAAGATGACTTTCTGTTATAGGTTTATTTGATATTTGACCCAAAAATAACGGATTGCTTCATGGTTGTCAGAGGCTAGTGTGCATTATTATTTCTGAGGGTTACATCTGATGACGTGACGCAGAGAACACAGACAGATAAGACAGACCCACATACTCATTAAGACAAGAGATGCTAAAATGTGCCTTAGTGTCTGAGTGATTGCTCTAAGGCGGGGACCCTTCTAAGGTGGGGACCCGAGTGACTGATCTAAAGCAAAGTGGCTTCCTGCCACCAGGCGCTGACTGAACTATATGCCAGGTGTCCTGGATAGAAGCTGGATTGAAATAAAAAACAAAAAAACAAGGGTTGCTTGCCCTCCTAGCGGTGGCCTCCCTACCCAATTCCTGCCTCTGAGTGTCCATTCTGCAGGACTGGGTGGTGGCAGGGCTGATGGAAGCAGCTGAGCCTTAGTGGCAGCACTAGGAAAATCCCCGACACATGAAGTGGGAAAACAGAGGTCAGGTGAAGTCGCTCCTCTTGGCTCCGTAACACTGTGTATGGAGGGCCGGGTGGGTGCATCGTGGAAGGGAAGGATGGAGCACCAACATCTGGGGGTTAGCCAACCCAATTTTCCTCCCTTCTTGGCAGTTCCAGAACATTCCCTTTGGCTTACAGCCACAAAAACGAGTGCCTCCCAAGACACATGGAGAAGAAAGAAAACAAGGACACCCAGAAGAACCAAACAAAAAACAGCACCCTGCCCCAGGCAAGGAGAGAAACAAACAGAACTAGACCAAGGCCACACCAGATTCGGAAGACATCCTGCACCCCACACCCCAGGAAAAGGAAATACAATTCAATGTCTTGCAGCTTTACTCCAGGGACACTACCACCACACCCTGAGACTCCAACTCACTGGCCTTTAGTGTCTCTTTTTTTTAGTTTAGTTTTTTTTTTTTTTTTTTTAATACCCAAACCATCCATTGTCAAAGCGTTAAAAAAAAAACTTTTTACTTAAAAAAACAACAACAAACAAACTGAAATTGCCACTAGAACTGATGCGGCAGGCTCCAGGCCTGGCCTCTCAACCTGCTTCCTGCTGTCCCATGAGCCATGTTACCAGACCCCAGTCTAGAACCATTGGGGATGACCATCCCATGGCTGGTTACCCTGGACCCCTCTGCTCAAATTTGGGTGGTCCCTAAACACCAGTGGCATCACTAAAAAGGAAAAGGGGACATAGTGTACCCTTCCATAAACACCCTCCATCAGAGCCGAACTTCCTTAGGAATGTATAAGTTATCTAAAGGAGGATATGGGATGTGAAGAAAAATAAATACCAAGAACTAAGTAGGTGTCCCTGGACCTCTGGCATCAGCTTAGCCTCTGGGGCAGAGAATGGGTCTCCAATGAGGAGGCCCTGATTGTCCAAATACTGCGCAGTCCTCTGATCTCCCCCAATAGGCACCTGCCTTGAGGGACGTGAATCTCAGAGGGAGAAAAGGGGCCAGCCCCTCAGGTACTGTCCTTTCACCTTGGCCCAGCTCACATCCTGCCCCTGGCTCCTGCCTGACCAAGAGGCTGGGCTGCCTGTCCCTGGACTTCTGGGAAGAGCAGAGCCTGACCCTCCTGGGCCTAAGGACTTCTTGCTGGTCCCACTGCTGGCTGCTCTGGGCCAGCCCCGTTCTTCGGCTGGCTTCCAGCACTCAGGCCTGTTCCTTGTCGGCCCTCCAGAGCCGTTCCTTCACCTCGGGTGGCAACGTGTTGAACAGGTCTTCCTCTACCACCAGGCCACTGCGCTTGAGCAGTGGGCACTCGCCCAGCTCCACGGGCAGACACTCCAGCCGGTTGCCTCGCAGCTCGATCTGGGTCAGGTTGGTTAGCTCCCCCACGCGTGAGGGCAGCGACTGCAGCACGTTGTTGCCCAGGTGCAGGGCCCGCAGCTTCCGGCACTGGAAGAGCTCTGGTGGGAGGGCCTCGATCTGGAGGGGAAGGAGCAGAGAGCCAAAGTGAGGTGTATGTGGCTCAGATTCGGGGACCTCCAGGCCAGGGCTTCCCTTATCTCCCTTACCCAGGCACGGCGCTTTCTCTGATGCCCATTTCAGCTCCCTAGGCACCACTACATCTGGGCCAAAGTCTGGCTATCTTCTACTACCTGTCCACTAGGTTTCAGCAGTCACTTCTTCCAAGAAGACTTCCTTGACTATCCTGGGAAACCAATGGCACCTGCTCCCACCATGTTCCCTATGTGATGAAACTGCCTGGTGACCTGTCACCCGCCCCCACCCTGAGCTGTGGGCTTTAAGAGGACAGAATTGAATTTGCCTTGTTCTCTGTTGTCGTCCAGAACTTGGCTGGTAATCAGATAATACTAACCAGCCACTACCAACTTCACCCCTATACCCCAGGGCTCTCCATGAGCCAGGTCAGACTATTGGTCATAGCTACCCAGGCTTAAGAAAAATTTATGAAAGCAGAGTAGCACACTGGGAAAATTTCACATCCTAAACGGTTCCTGAGAATTGGGATGACCTTACCAACAGAAATGAGAATCCCAGCTATGTCATTTCCTCACCTTGGGCCTCAGTTCCCTCGCTTGTCAAGTCACAGACTGGTCATGAGTGTAGGGGACCCAGGATGGTCATATGGAACCCCTGTTCTGATTCTGTAAATTTTAACAACAGGTAGCACCCATATGCTGTATGCTATAGGAACTGCTCTTAGCGTTTCTATTATGAACACATTTAACCCTCACACCCACTTGTAAACATGCTTTCTTTGTTACAGGAGGGGAAAATGAGGCCCTACAGATGCTAACTAGCCCAGAAGTCTGCAGCTATGAAGTGGCAGAGCCAGGTGACCTGGTTCAGCAGTCCATGCTCTGAGCTATTCACAAATAGTGGGGCCAAAGTCGGGAGAGTTACATAAATGCCAGATTTCTCACTGCCCTTCTGTGAATGATCAGCTATAAAAGTGAGCCCTTATTCCACCTATTATCCTAAGACTACTTCCTGCAGCTAGCATGGTAGGAGGAACCCTTATAGTCAGAAGACTTGAGCCTCAATCTCACACGAGAATGACTGGAGACCATGCAACAGCCACACTGAGGATGCTCTGTCACTGCTCCCATTTTCCTGCTGAGGAGCCTGAGGCCCAGAGAAGTGAAAGGCATTGCATACTCATAGTCAGAGAGGGTAGGATGTTAAGTCTTGCTTCCTCAACTCAGAGTGCATGCTCTATTCTCATTCTGTTGAACAGGGTGCTTATTTGCAGTATAACACTGGGCAAGACCCTTCTCAGCTCCCAGAATGCCTCCCTCTCCATGGCATGCTTTCCTCTTTGCTTGTAAGCTCCCTCCAGGCCACAGAGAAAGGAAGGCATTTCCAGCCCCTCAGCTCCCCACCACAGCCACACTTGTCTTTGGACCTGTCATTCCCTCTAGAAGTGTCATTCATCTAGCACCTTGATTCCACCCTCTCCTACCACCTCGAGGAGCTCACATGTCAATGGCTCTCATAACAGCAAGTCTAGCTGGTCTTGCGGGTGGGGTGGGGGGGGGAGTCTTCCCAGCAAACTTCTGTGGCTGCTCACACCATGGCTCTCCATACCTTCCTGACAAAGTATCCGGAAAACGGTTCCTGTCTTTCCGGGATCTGGATTCTGCCTGAGTCTACCCTTGAAACTATCTAGCCACAGTCACCAACTGCTGTTTCTAGTCCACAAGACCCGAACCCATTCTCCTCTTACCTGGCTCCTTCTTGCCCAGAGACCTTGGATACTACTCCTGCCTGCCTTTCCTCTTCCACAGTCCACCTCCAGGCCCTAGACAGACATCCTCTCTTCTCCCGCCACCATTCCCCAGAGACCTTGGATACTACTCCTGCCTGCCTTTCCTCTTCCACAGTCCACCTCCAGGCCCTAGACAGACATCCTCTCTTCTCCCGCCACCATTCCCCAATGATCATTAAGGTTCCCAGTTTCACCCATGAGTTGTGGATGATGACACCTTGAACATTAGATGTATTCAACATGGTCTGAATGTCCCAGAGCCCCCCAACACCTAGTACAGGGCACCCTTTCACCCCTCCACAGTTCTTTACTTCTTCCTCTGCCCTGCGTCACAGATCCTTCATCAATCTGAGCAACCAAGTGAGAAAGCGGTAAGTCGCCCCAGACCTACCTACTCCTGTCCCCATATCCAATATACCCCCATCTCCTGAATCTCTCCCAAGTCCACTCATGTCTCTCCATCTGTAGCAGCCTTTTCCAATTCAAGCCGCCTCCTCCTTCCCTCCTGTCTGACCCTTCAAATCTACTCTCCTCAATGCAGTAACAATAATTTCTCAACATGCAAGCCTGCTCACTCCTTTACCAAGTCAATTAACAAGAATTTCATAAACATTTGCTATAAGTCAGACACTGAACAAAATAGTCAAGGTCCTTGTCTTCAGAGTTCACGGCCTGGCAAGGGGAAATGGACTTTGAACAAATGAAGGTGCAAATGAAATTTATGTAGAAAATAACATACCCCCACAGACAGTTCTATCCCTGCCCCAAAGATAAAAGTCCAAATTCCAGGGGCAGCTCTGTTTCTCTTTCTTTCTCCACTAGCCTCCCCCACCCTTGTTCTTCCAAGTCATCTTTCAGTTCCTCAGTGAAAGAATGTACTAGACTTTATCTTCTTCACCTGGCTAATTCCTTCTCATCTTTCAGGGCCCAGGTAAAATGTCCCTTTTTCTTCAGGAGGCTGTCCTGCCCTGGATTAAGTCTGGGTTGGGGTTATTCTTCGAAGCTCTCAAGAAGAGTTTTTGTTGCACTGTGTGTTAACTGCCTTGTTATCTGTCAACGTAACAGGGAGCTCTGAAAGGGAAAAGAGTGGGCCTTGTTCCTCAAGTTCACTGTACCTTGTTTCATACCTGGACTATTCAAAAACATTTATACCCTACCATGAGACCAGGACTGGACGGTGCCTTGCTACCATTACCGAACACTTTGTCAAAGATTTTATACAAGACTCCTGATCAAAATGGGGAAAATGTACAACAGAATTCAAATTTGCATGGAATTCAAAGCTGCTGGAGCCACTGAGGCTGGATGACTTCCCTTCCCTAGAAACTATTATCCAGAGACAATAGTTTTAACCTTAAACCCAAAGTATTCCCTGCAGTTTTCTTAAGCCATACAACAGTTTAGACTAACTAGTAAATAATGTCTGCCTTAAGCACAGTTCTCTTTTAAGAACTATCTGCATGTGATTGAATTGATAATTGCTGTTGTTAAGTTCCACTGAGTCGGTTCAGACTTGCAGAGACCCTGTGTAGGGTTTCTGAGGAGTGGCTGGTGAGTTTGAACTGCTGACCTTGTGGTTCAAACAAATCTTGTGGTATAGTGCGATTTTTTTTTTTTTTTCCCACAGCACCATACCAGGACTCCACATTGACAATAGTAACTCAAAAGATTAGATAGGAAATTTAAGGGTAATAAGTTTATGTTAATGGGGAAGAATAATTCAGAAAAGGAGGGTGAGAATGGTTGTATAATGTGACGAATGTAGCCAGTATCATTGAATTGTACATGTAAAAATTGTTGAATTGATATACATTCTGTTGTATATATTCTCAACATTACAATTTTTTGTTTTGTTAATTTGCTGAGTCAATAAATGAATGAATGAATGAATACCTTCCTTGTCAAGGTATTCCTCTGTTGTTGTGGTTATCAGTTCTGACTCATATCATCCCTATACACAACAGAAGCAAACACTGCCTGGTCCTGCGCCACCTCACCATCACTGCAGTGTTGGAGCAACTGTATCAACCCATTTAGTTGAGTCTTTTCCTCTTTTTCACTGACCCTTTACTTTACCATGCTTGATGTCATTCTCCAGGGACTAGTCCCTTCCAGTTAACAATATCCAAAGTATGTGAGGTGAAGTCTTGCCATTCTTACTTGTAATGAGCATTCTAGCTGACTTCTTTCAAGACAGATTTTGTTTACTTTTCTGGAAGTCCATGGTATATTCACTTTTCTTCGCCACCATCTTAATTCAAATGCATAAATTCTCTGGACTTGCTTATTCACTGTTCAGCTTTCACATGCATATGGGAAAACTGAAAATACCATGACTTCGCGCAGGCAAATCTTGGTCCTCCTCAAAGTGGCATCTTTGGTTTTTTTTTAACACTTTAAAGAGGTCTTTTTTCCAGCAGTCTTTTTCCAGCACATAGACTGAATAAGTATGATGAAAGGGTACAATCCTGATGTACACCTTTCCCAATTTAAAAACATGGAGCATCGTCTTGTTCTGTTCTGCATGAGCACAATGAAGTGTTCAGGAATTCCCAATCTTCTCAATGCTACCCATAGTTTGTTATGATACACACAGTTGAATGCTTTTGTATCGTTCAAAAAGAACACAGGTAAACATCTTTCTGGTATTCTCTGCTTTCAGTCAAGATCCATCTGACATCAGCAATGCTATCCCTTGTATCATATCCTATTCTGAATCCAGCTTGAATTTCTAGCAGTTGCCTGTTGATGTACTGCTGTAGCCATTTTTGAATGAGCCTCAGCAAAATTTTACTTGCATGTGATATCCATGATATTGTTTGAAAATTTCCATATTCTGTTGGATCACCTCTCTTTGGGATGAGCGCAAATATGGATCTCTTCAAGTCAGTTGGCCATACAGCTACCTTCCAAATTTCTTGGCACAGGCAATGAAGCATTTCCAGCATTGCATCCATTTGTTACATCTCAATTGGTACTCCACCAGTTCCTAGAGTCTTGTTTTAGACCAATGCCTTAAGTGCAGTTTGGGCTTCTTTCTTCAGTACCATTGGTTCTTAATCACATACAACCTCATGAAATGGTTGCACATTGACCTATTATTTTTGGTACACTGATTGTGTATTCATGTTTTCTTTCCATCTTCTTTTGATGCTTTCTACATCGTTCAATATTTTGTTCATTGTTGTTAAGTGTTGTTTGAGTTGGTTCTAACTCCTAAGAGCCCTATGCACAACAAATGAAAACACTGTCTATTCCTGAGTCATCCACACCACCACTGTAATGTTTAAGTCCACTGTTGTACCCACTGCCTCAATCTATTTTATTAAGGGTCTTCCCTTTTATACCAAGCTTGATGTCCTAATCTTAGGGATCTATGGGATCTGCTTGATCAGGGACTCAGAAGCTAAAAAGAGGCATCATACTTCTTGGCTAGCTTTTTGACCAGCTTCTTATTCTTGTTGAGTTTCTTCAATGCCTTGATATCCACGTGAGGGGAACTTTGGTCACGGGGTGGACTTTAGCCTGACAGTGCCCAAGAAGTGTTTGTCCTTCTGAGAATCACAGTCCTTCAAGCTCATCTGCAGGCTCCTATGCAGGCCACTTCCCACACTGCCTTGTACAGGGTGTCAAGAGAGATTTTGCTGTTCGTGGTGCCTGATGCCACAGCAACCAAGAAAACAGCTTCAGGATAGATCTTGAAATGTTCCTTTTGGCAATAAATATGACATCATTTCTCTTCAATTTGTCATTCTTGACATATTAGACCATATGATTACCTGATTCAAAATGGCCAGTACCACTCCATTTCAGTTCACTAACGCCTAGGGTTATCTATCTTTAAGTGTTCCATTTAATTTCTGACAACTTCCAATTTTCCTAGATTCATATTCTGTACATACAATGTTCCAATTATTAATACATTTTTGCAGCTGTTTCTTTTAATTCCAAGTCCTGCCACATCAGCAAATGAAGGCCCTGAAAGCTTTACTCCATCCAATCATGAAAGACAACTCTTACTTTGAGGCAGCAGCTCTTCCCCAGTCATATTTTGAGTGTCTTCCAACCTGAGTGCCTCAGCTTCCAGCACTGTACCAGGCAATGCTCTACACATAAAAGTTTCATTGGCCAATTTTTTTTACAGAAGTCGATTGGTAGGTCTGTCTTCCTAGTCTGTCTTAGTCTACAAGTGCTGCTGAAACCTGGCCTCTATGGGTGACAGTCAGTGCTGGTATTTGAAATACCAGTGGCATAGCTTCAGCATCATCACAGCAACACACAGCCACCACAATACACCAAACTGACAGATGAGTAGTGGAGGTATTCCTTAGCATCGGTTAAAAGCAACACCAGGGGCACAATATCTAAGGGACTGAGCCCAGACCTGCACCCATACTGTCTTTTCCCCACCTGTGGTGGTTTACAAGAGCCATCAAGCCCTCAGAGAGTGACGAAGTATGGAGGTTCAGAAATTCAAAAGGAGGAGCCTGGCTGGAATGGACCCAAGTACACTTTTTCCTATAAAGGCCTCTGGCATTTCTGGGGGTGGGGACAGGATGTGATTAAGCAGTGTGCTAAACAGGGTGTCCAGAGGGTCTCCTTCCTCCACCAGCGCCTTTCCTGAAAGGTGACCTCAGCCAGCAGGCATGCTTGGTGTGAGGACACGGGCGGTGGGGGCAGGATGGGGAGCCAGGCTGAAAGCCTACACCTTCCTCTAACCAGAACGGGAGCAAGTCAAGCCTTGGCGCAGCACCTGGAACAGGGCATTCATTACAATGGGTTGTAGGATAAAGAGAAAAGTTAGAACTCACTATGGGGTCATTTAACACTGTGATCTGAGTAAGCCACTTAGTCTTCCCTCTGTATGTTAAAGAAAGGGTGGATTCTTCCCAGTGATTCTTAACCTTGGCATTTTTTCCAAGGGGTTTTCCAAAGTAAAGCAACCTGGGACTCAACCCTTACCTTTCTACACACACATGTGCGTTACTCATAATTCCAGGGAGCTAGGATTGGTCACAAATCCTAATACATGGAGAAGACATGTCAGTCTACAGAAAGAGAGAAGCAAGGGTTTCTAAATGGTCTGAAGAGTGCCAGAATCCTCAGTCTGAGTGATACTGGAGAAAGCTTGTCCTTTCCTGGGGCCAGGGAAGAGCGTGAGGCGAGTGTGTACTCTGTGTGTGTGTGTTTTCTGGGAACCTCCTCCCTCCATGCCTAGATTCCTGGAAAGAGCCCCTATGGAAGGACTTAGCAGGATGATGTGAGTATTGTACCAGCCATAGGGGTGACACTGAGCAAGTGCCCAATAAACCAAATGGGGCTGCTTTAGCACCACTGTCTGTGAGGGGTGCAGACCTAGGGATGAATCAGGTCTCCCTGTCGTCCCCCAGCCTTGGTCTTAGACTTCCACCACCATCTAACCACAAGACTCTCCACCCTGAAAGTAACAACCGTCAACTTCTTTCAACTGTCAACCTCTCTGTAGGGCCCCCAGGAAGGGGTGGGCAGGGGGAGGCCACCCTCCCAGTTGCTATGGCTTTGCTTCCATTGCAAAAGCCCAGACCACAAAGCCACAGGAGACTCCTGCCCTAAACTTTAGCCGCCAACCACAGGTTCCTTCAGGTGGCTCCACCTTCATCTACGGAGAAGCCAGGCACACAGGGCTCCTGCTGCCACCAATGATTTTGAGGGCACGGCCTCCCACACCACTTGCCCAAAGGCAGGTGGCAATAAGCCAGACTCTACACGCTCTCTCTCCTTCAACCAACTCATGGAGCTGCAGAGACCATTTGGTTTCACTTCAGCAAGTACCAGCCACCAATAGTTTCCATCCCTGCTGGTCTCTCATTGGTCCGACTCCAAATCCAGCCTAGGATGAGCTGAGGAAGATACCACAAACTACGGGTTAATTTCTACCTTCCACAACCCAGCTCCCAGAGAGCCACAGGCCTTGTACCTGCAGATCCCTGTCCATGAGGAACCCAGCTCAAAGTACTGGGTGAGAGGTGTCAACTAACAGCACTGTCCCTGCTGGCAGCCACACCCTGGTCAGAACAACTCTATAGTACTGCGTGGCAAAGACACACACTGGCCTCCTATCCCGAGATTCTGATTCAGTACGTCTGTAAGTCTGTATTTTTAACAATCCTGGGTGGTTCTGAGAACCATAGATGAGAAGTCCAAACCCAGACACATCAGACAGTCCTGAGTACTCCACCATGACCACTTCACCTGTCAACCCATATTCTGGGTGATGACCAGACTACTTACCCGATTGGCCGTGACAGCCAGATTTTGGAGGTTTTGCAGGAGGCCAATGTCGGCAGGGAGGAAGGTCAGGTTGTTGTGGCTAAGGTCTAGGTAGCGCAGCTTGCGGCAGTAGAAGAGCTGGGTAGGGATCTTCTCAATTTTGTTGCGGTTCAGATAGAGGCGCTCGAGGTTGGTGAGGTTGCCGATCTGGATAGGGATGTAGGCGATGTGGTTGTACCACAGCTTAAGGCAGGTGAGGCGATGCAGGTGCTGGAAGCTGATGATCTCCTCAATGGTCTTGAGGTTGTTGTCCTTAAGGTCAATCTCCTGTAGGTTGTGAAGGCTGAAGATGGAGTGGGGGATGCGCTCCAGGTCACAGCGGATTAGCTCCAGCTCTGTCAGATTCACCATCTTCTTGAGGCTGTTGAGAACGATGAGCTTAGTGCCCTCGTTGTTGATGGACAACTTCTGCAGGTGCACACCCACGTCCGTGACCACCTGAGGCAGTTTGCTCAGGTTGCTCTTGAGCCGTAACACCTTGAGGCGCTTGAGCTCGCGGAGCCCATCGATAACAATGTAGCGGTTGTTCTCCGCACTCAGGTTGCCTGTTAGGTGCAGTTCCTCCAGTGTCTTCAGGCTGTAGATCCAAAGCGGGATCTCCTTGATGTCAGTGAACTTGATATGCAGTGCCCGCAGGTTCTCACGCAGGAAGGCCAAGGCGGGAGCCTCAATCTTGGCTGCAGTGTGGTATAGCCACAACTCCTTGAGGCCAGTGAGCTGGGCAATGCTGGGTGGGATGGTCACATCCGGGATCAGCTCCAGCTTCAGTACCTCCAGCTCCACCAGGTCAAACACAGTGTCAGGGATGCCACTGAGCATGAACAGGTGCAACTCCAGCTTGTCCTGCGCGTTCTTGGTGAGCCGCTGCCTCAACTTGTCCAATGTCCACTCATTGTTGAGGTTTAACTGCCGCAGTTTATTCTCACTCACCTCTGACAGGAAGACAGCAAAGCGCTTAGAGTACAGCGGATCATACTGGTCGATGAGGTGGAGCATGAAGGCAAAGTCGTTCTTGACATCGGGAATGTCACTGTAGCTGCTCTCCTCGCGGATCGACTCGAACGAGTACTTCTTGAGGGAGCGCCGCAGCATCCACCACAGCGTGTACATGCAGATGAGGCCGTAGAAGATGACCAGGCTGATGTAGAAGGAGGCGAGGATCTTGAAGAGTGTGGCGAGAGGGTGGGCACAACGGTAGGTTCGGTAGCCTGTCAGGCTCTCAATGTCCACAGTGCAGTCCACGTCGAACTTGATGTTGTGCACATAGTACACAGTGTAGCAGATGATGAGGATGAACTTGATCACCTTGATGATGGTCTGTCGCATGTAGAGGCGATACACGATGTCTCCCTCCTCTACATGTGTCCGAAATTTCTTCACCTTCTCAAACAGCGCCTTGGCCTGCTCCCCCTCCTTCTTGTCCAGCACACCTGTCTCTGAGCGGTCCACAATACCTTGCTCAATGCGCGACTTAGTCCGCTGTAGCATAGGCACAGTGGCCTCCACATCCTCACTGACTGTGGATGACTTCTTGTCCATGGAGCCATTCATCTTGCTAAAGGCTGGCTTGGGATCACTCTCCTCCACCACAGTTTCTGACAAGGCTCGTGTTGTCCAAGGTGAGTCGAAGCACTTGAGCAGGATAGATACAAAGTGTTCTAGCTTTGAGCTGGTGCGTGGGAACTTGAACCAGAAGTTGCTGCAGGCCAGGAAGATGAGGGTGTGCAGGAGCACCAGGTAGGGGAAGTACTTGGCAAACCAGTGCAGTCGATTCTCGTAGCACACAGCATCCACATAGTTGTACTGGTGTCTGTCCAAGTCATACTTGATGCCTGTGGGGCCTTTGTCAGGAGCTGGCAGGAGCGTCGTGTTGGGGTAGGAAGGCTCTGGGCTGGGGGCTACCCAGCCCCGGAATGAGTCGTTACAGGAGTCCTTGGTGACCCACTTACAAGGCAGGCAGATCATCTTGTCCTGGGTGACCTGCAGAGTCCCTCCGAAGACAGCAATCATCAGCATGACAATGGAGATATAATCAGTGAACACATCCCACCACGGCTTCAGAATCCGATATGCTGGCTGTGTGTCCGCAAAGTAGCGGAGCTCTGTCACTGGAATCATGGTTCAACCTGAAAGGGACCCACAGGCAGAGATATGAGAGTGGCCTGGCATTCCTGGGAACCAGGGGTCAGGGGCAGTTGAACACACAGTTACAGTCCAAAATTCTACATCAACTTTAGCTGAGTCCTACCTAGCCTACCACTCCTGTCTCCATACAACACAGGTGATTGGTCACCTGTTGGTTGGGAAACCACCATGGGCGAAGGCAGGAAGTGTCTCCACTTTACAGACTAGGCACTGTAAAGTTAGGCCCACTCAGACATCACTAATACAGCCTCGCCATTTCCCAGCCTGCCTGTCCTCACACCAGAATCTCACTCTGCATTCCAGTATGACCATTTGGGAATTCATATCTGTAGATTCCTTCCTTATTTTGATCAGACTGACCTGAGGGCCTTGTTTATAACTCCAAGATCACCCGGGAACAGGATGCAGCCATCAAGAAAGTTCACCAGGGACCAGAGGGGATTTCCGCAAAGTGTGAGAAAAGCAAACTGCAGACCAGAGGGTCAAATGAGAACTCAATTTTTTTTTTTTTTT